CCAGAGAAACTCCCCTTACATGGAATCAAGGCTGTATCCTGAGGAAGGGTGTTGCCTCCCACCCTAATCCCCTTACATTGGCGGACCATATCAGATCACATCATGGGGAAGTGATCCCATCATTACAGAACTGCCCAAACCACTGAGAAGCATGATCCAGCCAAGTGGACACATATTTGGGGGGGTGGGGAAACACAATTCAATACATGGCAGGTGGGGTGGGTGTATGGCAGTGCACAGAGTAGAAATATGTGGGTGTTTAGGTAAAGTGAGCTCATATGGGCACACAGGTAGGAGTTGGGGCACAGAAGGAGGTAGGCACAAGGGCCTTGGTGACCAAGGCTGGAGGAGACAAACCCAGGCAACAGGCGAGTAGACAGTTGTGTGATCAGATTCACTTTCCCTCCTTGTGGCTATCGGAGTTTGGATGCCAGCTCCTTCTGGTACCACATATGTCCAGACCTCTTCCTCTCCGGGAGCCCCTCCTCCCCCACTGCACACACAAGCTTCCTCTTTCTCATCATATCCTCTCTGGGTTTGGGGGGAGCTGGAGGCCACTCACGGCCCTGTTTCCTTTCCAAGCACTATTCTAGGCCGGGCAAGGGCAGTTCACACCAAGGACCCACTGCCTGTCCCCATCTGTTCAATGCTCCCTGCCCCCCACCCCTTGGGTCAAATATGCACCTCTCTCTGTGGAACAGGCACTGGGGATTCAGAATTGGGTTAAGGAGTGGTTGTCAGACCACTGAGCTAAGCAGATCCCTTACCTTCAAGTCGAGTCCAACTCATTGTGACCCTCTAGGGGACAAAGTAGAACTGTCCGGTAGGGTTTTCAGGGCTGAAAATCTTTACGGAAGCTGTGGAAATCTTTGCGGAAGCTGACTGCCATATCTTTCTCTCGCAGAGTGGCTGGTGGGTTCAAAGCCCCTACCTTTCGGTTAGCAGCCCAGCGCTTACCCACTGCATCACCAGGGCTCCAAGGAAGCATAAAAACATCCCTGATCTGAGATGCCCCCACCCCACCCCAGCCCACCATCTCTGTCTCAGGCAGTACTTCCGCAGCCCCAACAGGAAATGGGCTGGAGCCAGCACAACCTCCCGCCATCACAGACAACTTCTTGTTTCCCTCTTGCCCTGTGCCAGCTCTGAGCTGTGCCCCTTGGCTCCACCCCCCAGACTTTCCCAGGGTTCTGTCCCTGGGCACAGGATGCAGGATGGTGGACATGATTGCCAAGCTGACCAGAAGGCAGAGTTCGGCCCTTCGGGGGCAGGTAGGGGGTTCCAGCATTAGGAGGCAAGCTTAGACTTTGGGGGTGGGGTGGGAGGTCTATAAGGACAGAGGGACCCCTTTGGGTCTCCATCCTCTAGCCCTGGGGTGAGCTGGATCATGGATTTGGGACTTGTAATCCCTCCTCTGAGGCTCTTCCTGTCTGAGACAGGGGACTACAGGGATGCTGAGAAGGGTGGGAGATGCTGAGGGAGGGACCTGGGCTGTCACCTTCTCAGGGACAAGAAAGAGGAGTACCTTGGTCAGGAAGTACTGGGGAGCCAGCTGGCAGCTGCGTGTGGTGAGACCCCTTTTGGCACTGTCCTTTGGCCTGAGTGGGAGGCCACTTCCTCTTTACCACTTAGTCTCCCTTATGTATCTTGGATCTGACTGCAATCTGGGTCCCAGGAGCCCTTGGTACCCAGTTAGGTTTCTGTTGCTGGGCTGTGTCTGGGTTTTACTGGGGTCTGCGGGAGTTGGGGGCAGAGACGCCGCTGTAAACAGCTTCCCCCACAGAGGTGTGGAAGAGCCTGACCCACCGGGCCTCAAGAGCTAATCAGACCCTGCTGAGGCTCTGCCCAAGAGGAAAATGCCTCTACTCTAGCACTGTGTGTGTGTGGGGGGGGGGGGGTGTAGGGGGGGTGCTCCACTGGCGTTCTGGGTCTGAAGGGGCCCAGTGAGGACACGTGTCTCTGGGGCATATCCAATCTTTAGAATGTACTTCCTTCAAATGCCCCCATTTGGTGTGTTCTGTGGTGCCCCACAGTGGGACTCTGCATCTTCTTTTCCTTGTGACAGCCCTGTCACACTGGACACCCACACTTCGACCTCCAGCATCTGTACGGTGCCTGTGAGATCCCAGCCTGAGACTGACTCCCTACGGACTTGATGGAGCTCCAGCCCACAGCCTGGCTCCATAGAGCCTGCCTCCGTCATTGGCTCATCCATCAGCCATGGGCTCTCTTTCAACCCTGTCCCAGGGATGGGCAGAGTCTCAGTGGGTCCAGCTGGGGTGGGTAGAGGTGTGTCTGGCTCATCTACCTTCTTCCACCCACCGCCTTTATCCTGTCCTCCCAAGGAGTCTCCTGGTTTCTGTGGTTCCAACTCTTACTCTCACAAATTCTTGCTGAAACCTAACCTTTGTCTCTCCCTAGGGTCAGGTGTTTCTGTGTCTGATGCTTACATTTGCCACGGGATTGCCCTGAGCCCGGGGAGTATCTTAGTGGGTTGGCTATGTGCTCTGGGGCATTGAATCGCTGGCTGGAGGGCAACTGGGATCAGCTCATCCATCTAGATCTTGCTTTCCAGGAACTCCTGCCTTTTGTGGGATTAGAAAGTTGGCAAATGGGTTGCCAACTCAGCAGCTACTGAGGCCAAATGTCGTTGGGCCCAACAGTGACAACCAGAGGGTCAGAAGGCTAGCCCTCTGTTAAGAGAGAGAAGGTCTCATCTAAGAGAGGCCTGTGAACTAAGAGCCAGTGGTTGGGCAGAGTTTGGATAGGCAGGACCCAGGAACCATACTGCAGCAACAGTGGCATTGGAGGTAGGCAGACGGGGCCTTTTGTATTTGGGGAGGGCCAGCCATCTAGTGTGACAGCAATACTGGAATACCACATGAAGGCAACAGTGGGAAAGAGAAAGGAGTGGAGTGGGGGTCCTGTCTCCACCACACAGGAACTTGGGTGGGGGTGTGTCCAGCTCTCTTTGCCCCTCTGTGCCTGAGAACCCATCCCCTTACAAAAATGGTAATGCCTCCTTCTCTGACCATGCTTTGGATTTCTTCCTTAGCAGTGATCATCAAATCACCTTTGATATGCTGTCTGTTTTACTTGGAGTTCTGATGTGGCACTGTAGGATAAGTACTGGGCCACAAGGTCAGCGGTTCAAATCCACTATCCACTCCTCAGAAACCCTATACAGAGTTGCTATGAGTCAGAAATTACTTACGGCATTTAATAGCATCATCTTGCTTGGCTCCCTGTCCACTCCTTCTCTGCTATAGACACATCCACATGTACTAGAGCGCCTATCCTGTCTGTTCACTACTGAATTCCCGGTGCCTAGAACAATGCCTGGCACACAACAGCTTATCTGTTAGATAAATGTTTTCTTAGGTGACTGCTGAAGACCCCTGAACAGGACCTGCTTCCCTTCTCAAGGCGTTTACAGCTTAGTGAAAGGGTTACAGTCCACAGGGAAACTTCTGGGGTTTTAAAAAGTGTTTATTGTGTGAAATTTTGAGTTGCAGGAAAGCTTAAAACATAAAAAAAAAAAAAATTCAAATCCTGTAATTATACTGCCCAAGATGGCATCTGCTAGCATTTGAGGGTTTTGTTTTTTTAAAAAAAAAGAAAGAAAACAAAACCCCCCACAAAATTATAATTTTAAGCTAAATTTACCATTTTCAAATTTTGCTTTTTCCCTGTAATATTTTATGTATTCTTGGGAAATAAAATGAGTTCCAGAATGCTGTTGTGTTGTCTGGGTTCTGATCATGTAGTTTTTTTCTCTCCCTCTGGTGAGGGTACTGAGCTGGGTATGGTGGGCACACAGGAGGGACAGCCTAGTTACCTCCTCGGTCATGGGAAAGAATTCTCAGGAAAGGTCTTGAGCCTGGCACCTAAGTGTGTCTTGAAGGAGGATTTGGGACCAGCCAGGTGAAAAAAGAATGAGTCAGGTCTTGGCAGGTCTTGGATGAGCTGAGGTCTGGAGGAGACACAGCTACTGGTATTTAAAGCTCAAGGCAAGTGGCAAAGGGTCACTCACTACACAGGGAAGAGATGGAAGCTTCTAGTGTTGTGTTAAAGCTTTGACTTTGCCCTCCAGGCAATTGGGAGCCAGGAGGTGTTAAGTGGGAGAGCACCACAAGGTGATGTTGTCTTCTTTTATGCAGGATGTTTACCTTTGTTTTTTTTTTGGTCCCTTGTTCTTCACTCCCTTGAATCTGAGGCCTGCTTAACTCCACAATGGGGAAGTTCTAGGCCAGGCTTTTTCTGCTAAGAGAGAAGGAATTGTGGGGCACTCAACTGTTGTTGTTAAGTGCCGTCGAGTCGGTTCCAACCCATAGTGACCCTGTATAAGGTTTCCAAGGAGCATCTGGTGAGTTTGAACTGCCAAACTTGTGGTGCAAAACCGACATTTTAGTCCAGCGCATTACCCACAGCGCCACACCAGGACTCAGGGCTCTCAATCAGACCCCCAAAATGTGTACTTGGCAGGGCCGGGCCGCAGGACTTGAATGGGGCCCATAGGAAGGAACCAAGCCCAGGGCATTTTCTGTTCTTTGAGTACACACACAGCTGTGAGAGAGCCTTTACCTATATTTTGTTGTTAAAGTGATGTCAGTTGTCGGTCTGTACGTAGCGACTCATAGCGAGTCTATATAGGGTTTCCAAGGAGCGACGGGTGGGTTTGAACTGCTGACATTGCGGGTTTGAACTGCTGACATTGCGGTTAGCAGTCCAGTGTTTATTCACACCAGGTCCCCATTTCTAAGTGTTAATAATATAACTAACTCAATTTTCCCACGCATCTGGGGCACTAAATACTTTGCAAACCACTTTCAGGAACATTTCCTCATTCTCTCTTTACTACAACTTCTGGAGATGGGTGGGGCAGAATTTTTACAGCTGGGGTACAGAGGTAACAGGACTTGCAGAGGCCGAGTGGCGGCCGGGAACCGGCCTGGGTGACCTCGGAGCTGCCCTGAAAGTCCTGTCTCCTCCTCCCGCAGGCGGACGAGCCGTCGGAGCCCGTGTACGCGAACGTTGAGCGGCAGCCTCGGGCTACGTCCCCGGGCACCACTGCGGCCCTGAGCCCCGGCCCGGCGTGGGAGACGCTCACGGACGCGGACACCGGGCGCCCCTACTACTACAATCCAGACACGGGCGTGACGACCTGGGACTCGCCCTTCGAGACGACTGGGGGCGTCGCTAGTCCGGCCGCTTCCCGGGCCTCAGTGGACAGCCGCGAGAGCTTGGAGGCCGATTGGGGTCAGTACTGGGATGAGGAGAGCCGCAGGGTGTTCTTCTACAACCCGCTGACGGGCGAGACGGTCTGGGAGGACGAGATGGAGGACGAACTGGAGATGCAGTCTGGCCTCAGACCGGGCAGTCCCCGGGACCAGAGGGTGAGGGGCCGGGTCGGTAGGGATGGCCCTGGGAGCCTTCGACGCCGCTTCTACTCCCACAGCCCCCGGGTCAGAGGGTGAGGGGTGGAACCTGTTGTGGAAGGCGGGGCCTGGATGGGTGGGCGGGGCTGACTCTGGATCCTCGGACCCTGCCTTTACTCCTATTGACCTAGGAACGGAGGGGGTGGGCGGGGCCGGGCCGGGCCAGGGGTGGGCGGGTGGCTAATATGACTCCACCTCCTGCTCCGAGCAGCCGCCCACGCCTGACACGGACTACCCAGAATCGCTGACCAGTTACCCGGAGGAAGACTATTCTCCAGTAGGTTCCCTCACTGAGCCCGGCCCCGCCTCTCCCTCGGCCACGCCCCCTGGCTGGTCGCATCAAGTCGGCGCGGATGGGCAGATGCTGTACACCAACCACTTCACCAATGAGAAGGTAGGGGCAGGTGGACAGATGGGCCCAGCTCCCATGGCCTTCCTCACTCAGCACTCTCTTACTAGGCTTTCTGTAAGCCCCAGCCCGCCCAAGACACCTCAGCCACCCCACTGCCTCTCCTACCTTGGACTCTGGTTGTCCGGGAACCCTTTCCTCCCCTCATGATGTAGGCCAGGGGGCGCTGACCATGTCTCTTCCTACAGTGGGTGAGGTTGGAGGACCAGCATGGGAAATCTTATTTCTACAACCCAGATGACTCCTCTGTTCGATGGGAGCTGCCTCAGGTAAGAATGAGTGCTGGGGAGAAGAAGGGGGTCATAAATGACGAGGGTTAACACTCAACAACTAACCCAAAAGGCTGAAAATTTGAATCCACCCAGACATGCCTTGGAAGAAAGATCTGGTGATCTACTTTAAAAACCAGAGCTCAGTTTTACTCTGACACACATGGGGTCACCATGAGTTTGAATGGATTCTATGGCAATTGCTCTGTTTTGTTTTCTTCTTTAGGTCCCTGTCCCTGCCCCTCGAAGCATCCGCAGATCCAACCAGGACAATGACACTCCAGCCCAGGCCAGCCCACCTGAGGAGAAGGTGAGAGTGCATGGACAGCTCTGGCAGGGACTCCCACAAAAGAAGTGGGGGGATTTCTGGAGGTCCTGGGAATAGAACTGTCTCTGGTTCTTCCTCAGGTCCCAGTACTAAGCTGGGCTGAATGAACCTACAAGTCTGGCTTCACCCAGCCCCAGAGTTGGTTGAGAGCTATCTCTTCTCTTGGTCTTGCTCCTGAAGCTGAAGTCAATGCCCTACCTTTTACCACCAGTCAGGTGGCTGTGTGGGGTGAGGAGGTTTCAGTGGAGACTCAGGCTCAGCCCATGGGGAGTGGCTGGCACAGGGGAGACTGGCTTCTGCCTCCTATTATGGTATACTCCTTAAATGTCTCCTCTTTCCCCTTCTCTAAGATCAAGACCCTGGACAAGGCAGGTGTGCTCCATCGTACCAAGACAGTGGACAAAGGAAAACGGCTCCGGTGAGAGCCCCTGTGTACCCAGAGTGGGGTGGGCCTTAGTGAGGATGTTCACTGAGCACTTCCTCTATGCCAAGTGTTTATTAGGCCTCATAGCTACTTCATGAAGGTCCTGTGAGGAAATGGAGGCAGTGAGAGTAAAAGTGATTTGCCTATGGTTTCTTGGTTACCAGGTGTTAGTGTTGGGAGTTCACCTCTGATAGTCAGGGCCCCAGGCTGTGTTCCTAAATTCAGTGCTCACTCCTGGGGTGGTTAACATTGGGGGGTCCTCAGCTTAGGGTCACCTCCAAGACCTACCCACTCTTCACCCACCCAGGAAGAAACACTGGATTGCCTCCTGGACTGTGCTGGAGGGTGGAGTCCTGACCTTCTTCAAAGACTCCAAGACCTCAGCTACAAGTGGCCTGGTAAGTCTCAGACCCCAGCCCAGGGACTACCCCATCTGCCTCTCATCTCAGTGGGTCTTTAATCTGGCTTGCTAAAGGCTAGATCTGGGACAGCAGAGCACGGGGTGGGGGTGGGGGGAAGGGGGTCAATGATCTGGGCCTTGAAGGGTGGGGGCAACAACAACAGAGTCAGCCCAGGATAAGCAGGTCCAGCTCACTGGAATGAGGCTATGTCCCTTTTCCCCTTCCTTTTCCGGTGGGCAGGCAGCAATGGACAAGCCAACTGGTAGGCTCTGCAGGTTCCAGGAACTCCTGGGCCTCCTCCCCTAGAGCCATTTCCTGGGACCCCGTCCTGTCCCTGCAGTCAGAGGGAGCCTGACCTGAGCAGAGGGCTCCCCGTGATGGTGCTCCGTACCTTCCCTCCCTCTCCTTCAGAAGCAGCCGTCCAAGCTGTCCACCCCTGAGTACACAGTGGAGCTGAGGGGAGCCTCTCTGGCCTGGGCTCCCAAAGACAAGTCCAGCAAAAAGAACGTGCTGGAGGTGAGTAGTGGGAGAGGGAAGGAAGGGACTCACATACGGCCTAGGACCCTCATTACTAGGAAAGCCCCATGAAAGAAAGGTGACCTGGGAGAGTTGGGGTTGTAGTTCTCAGGACTTACGGCCACGTCAGGAATCTAGGGTTTCTAGCATCCCAGAGTCTACTATTCCCTCTCCACGAGTTGGCTTTGCTGGCTCTTGGTCCCAGGAGTGGTGAGGAGTAGGGGTCTGCGGGAGATGAACCTCTGCCATATCTAGAAGGGCACCCCAGCCCCTGGTCTGTGAGAGACAGGAGACTCCTCCCCTGACCACTCACTCTAATAAGCCGGAATGAGAAACCTGATCTGTGTCTCAGTAAATAAACCCGGGCAGTGGGCACTCTTTTCAGACTTCCCCCAAAGGAAGAGACTAATGGGGCCCAGGCCAGGGTCCTCAAAGTCCCTCATCCTTCATAGTCCAAGTGCTGTGCCCCACCTCCCCCTTCTTTGGATTTAGGTAAAGTTACCCCTTTGAGCTCATATAGGTGCTTTTTTTAAGGAATACATGTCTATTATATCGCTGAAAGGTGGTCTCTAGTTTAAGTTAGGGCAATAGTCTCAGAGATTCATTTAGTTTCATTCAGAGTAGTAAGTCTGACCTTTAAAAAAAATTGTTCAACATTTTTTATGTATTCTAACCAGGACCTTCTATTGTGACCCTGGTCAGAGGGGTTGGTAGTGGTAGCTGGGCATCATCTAGCTCTTCTGGTCACAGGATAGAGGAGACTGTGGTTCATGTGGGTCATCAGTCCCCTGGACTAATGGCTGCTTTGAGTCTTTGGTTTTCTTCATTCTCCTTTGCTCCAAGTGAGAAGAGACCAATAGTTGCTTCTTAGATGGCTGCTTGCAAGCTTTTGAGACTGCAGAGACGTTACTCACCAGGCTAGGGTGTAAAGCATTACCTTTATGAACTGTGTTTTGTCAATTGACTTAGATGTCCCCTGACACTGTGATTGTCTTGTTTTTAAACCACTCTTATCTGCACCTCAGTCCCCCCAAATTTTGAGGCTGTTCACAAAAAAAACTCAAATGATGAACTGGTAGAATCCAATGAAACACTAGGGCCAGGCAAAACAAGTTAAAGTTGCAAAGAAATTAGGGGGCACACAACATAAAGGTGCTAAGGTTGTTGCTGGAAAAGAAAATTAGCTCCTATTTTTCTGGTATCCAAAGTGAAAAGAGAAGAGTAATCTGCTATGTAGTTCTTATTGAATAAAAAGAAAACCTATCTGGTTTTGGAGGGAATCAAAGCTTTTTCTTAGCGCTTTACGTTTGAAAAAATTTCTCATATACAACTCCGTGAGTTTAGAGGGAAAGGGCTGGTGTAGAGCTGTCAGAGCGGCTCATGAGGAAAACCATGCCTTATATCTCTGCTTAGAAAAAACACTCTGCAAGGAGCCTGAGTGTATCATTTGTGATGAGTGACCAGGCTTCATGCGGTTCTAGAACCAGAGCATCCACAGAGCAGGGCTGGAAAACTGGTTAATCTCCTGAGCTACTCTGAAGAGCTGGAGCCTTTTTGAGAAGAATTCTGGAGCCTTCTCCAGGCATGGCAGGGTAGTGAAGTGCTGTGATCAACTAGCAATGTCTGTCATGGGTGTCAGATTAAGGAGGGACATCATGTTTGCTAGGCATGTTCCTACCTTGACCTTAGAAGGATGTGCTTCAACCCAGTTTTCAATAGTTGTCACCTCACTGCTGACTTTTGGTAACTCAGAGCAGATTCTCCAGGGTTGTCTTTTTTGGCAAGGATTAGAAGGCAGATGGTACTCTTGGAAACTGACTGAAGAGAGGGCTGACAGTCTTGAAAGGACTCAGGGGGCCCCCTGCCTCCCAGATGGTTGAAGGCCATCCTCCCTTCACGTAGGGGTGACCTGAAGGCAACAGTAGGACTTTCCTACGAGACAATACAAACTTCTGTATCATTAAGGATGACCTGACTTGTTGGGCCTGGGGACCTCTCAGAGCAGGTTTTCCTTGTCTCCTTAGAGCCACAGAAATCTTCAGTAACAGACCTCTGAGAACAGCTAGTTTAGGGAAGCTCAATTTGCCTGGGCATTTGCCAGGATAAATGCTTCAGGTCATACATTGCTTTGTAATAATACAGCTTTGTTGTATAAAGTTTTCAAATATGAACGGATTATGAGAGCAGCCAAAAATAATGATTGATTTAGAAGCATTGTTGTTAGACCTTTCTTTGGGATGACACACAGCAAGGCTTTGTCTCTTGCGTTACAGCAAGGCTTTGTCTCTTGCGTTACAGTGAGGCTGTGTTACCTGTTTGTTGAAATTAGCCTTTGCGGTGGGAAGGGGTGTTGTTATTAGGGTGTCTTGGAGTCTATCTCAATTCATAGCAACCCCATGTGACATTTGAATTGCCCCATGGGGTTTTCTTGGCTATAATCTTTATGAAAACAGATTACAAGGTCTTTCTCCTGCATAGCTGCTGGGTGAGTTCTTGCCTTTTTGAAAAAACGTTTGGAATGCAGTTTAAATAGTATTACATTTATGTTTGAAAGGAGGGAAGTGCAAAGACAGTGTTGTCTGATTGTGGACATGGTCACCTGTTGTCTGAGAGAGTTTCTGCTGAGTCTGACTCGTACTGAGTCCAAAGAACAGGATTGGGGTGAGCTGCCACATCAGACATTCCCATTACACTTGAAACGTTTAGTCCTCAGAGCCAGAGGCTGAGGAGGGAGCCCTCTAAGTTACCACCTTGTAACTTGGAGACTTTGGAAGGGAATGTGACTACTCAACAGCTGTGGGTGACAAGCAGCTTGGGTTGTTGATATCTGTTTGGTCTTGGGAAGCCTAGATTTGGGCTTCTTTAGGTCTGGATGCAACCTCCAGCAGACTTCTGGGACTGTGCTTTCTCCACTTTTACACACCTGTCAGGACTTTGGGGAATCCATTCAATCGCAAGTGCTCTTCCTTGGAGTATGGGCAGATGGGTTGGTAATCCCGCCTGCTAGTCTGAAAGATCTTGGCTTTGAGTAATCAGCGCTGCAGCAGAAAGATTTCCCCTGGTGGCTTGTTGCATTTAAGCTTCTTGATGGAGTCCTGGTGTGACGCTCTAGGATAAGCACTGGACTACTAACCACACGGTCAGAGGTCTGGACCCATCATCTGCTCCTCAGAACCTCTATGCAAGGAACCAACACCACGGCACTTTACAACAACAATAAAATGCCTTGATGAAGTAAGAGGTTACAGTGTCCAGGCTGGAGTGCGAGACAGGATGGACTCCTGCCGCAAAGGGTGGAACAGAGCTCCTAGGTCCTCAGTGGGTATGGGGGGCGGGGGGTGAGCCCTCTGAATCAGGTGTCATCTGTTCTCAGAGCCTTTCTCCCTACGTTTTCCTCACTGTTCATCCTAGTAGCCAGACCCAGCGCTTCCCACATGGAGTTTTCACTTAGTGTTTTTCAGGCCAGGGCTCTAAGTGAGGCCGTTCGCTCATGCGAAGGCAGGTGGAGCAGGGGACCGGAACAGGGAGGCCGACAGTGAGTCAGGATGACCAGCTCTCAGATCCATGATCCATGGTTCACTAGCTATGCCTGTGAGGAAGCTGTTTAGACTCACTGAGTGTCATGCTGTTACCAACTCCTTTAAGGGATGTGGACACCAGGGCCTAGGGTGAGGCCCTTGCTTCATTAAGGTCTGAGTTCCTGGGAATATGCATGGGTCACTTTCATCTCTGGATCCCCCTACAGGGCTTAACCCTGTGACAGGCCCAGGGAACTGGTGATGACTGGGTGGCTTGTGTCCTTTCAGCTACAGAGTCGCGATGGTTCGGAGTACCTGATTCAGCACGACTCAGAGGCCATCATCAGCACGTGGCACAAGGCCATTGCCCAGGGCATCCAGGAGCTGGTAGGCAGACCAGGGCCTCCGGGGCTGGTGGAGAAGGGTGGCCAGCCATTGTACAGAGCAGGGTCGGGGGATGGGGGAGCTCTGTGGCTCCACTGGACAAGTAGGATGGCAGGAAGGTTGCTGAAGAAACAGCCTTCCTTAAGTATGTGAGTCCAGCCCCCGGAGTTTGGCCCTTGCAGAATGACTCTTCAGGTGGAAATGGGATGCCACCTCAGCTACCCCATGCTGTCCCCATTGGTTGTACTTCCCCCTCGACTTCTGCTGCCTTGACTTTCACTCAAGCCCTTTGATTCACTTTTTTTCTCTTCTTTGGGTGAACATAGCCCTTCCTTTGAGTGCCTCAGAAGAGCAGAGAGACTAGAACTGTTAGGAGAGACTCTGCAGAGAGACCCTAAGACAGACAAAAGGGCAGTAGGCCCCAGAGCAGAGTCTGGGGACCTGCCATCAGTGCCAGGAGAGAGTACTCCTCTAAGACCCCAGGACTTGTTGGTCCCTCAGTGACTGGTGAAGGGCACAAGCCCTGGCCCCCATCGCATTTGGCTGTATTAAGAGATGGAGGGATACAGATCGAGGGAGGTGATGTTGGGACAGTTGTTGGCAGTGCCCTGGCCCATCTGGAACGTTAACCTTGGGGAGTGTATAGAGGGAAGCTGAGGGAAATACCGGAAGAAGGGGCCAATAGTCAGGGTAAGAAAGGGGTGGGAGAAAGGGAAAGCTGTCTACAACATCAGAAGGGCTCATGCAATAAGGGAAGCAAATGCTCTGAGAGTTTTTGGTGGAGGTGAGGGGAGTTAACTTGGGTAAGGAAAGGAAAGGAAAGAACTTCCTGCCTCCCTGGGAATCTTCTGGCGGGGCTTGCAGGGAGGGCATTTCGGGTCCCCACCCCACTCTGGAAGGACCCCCAGATCTGAGACTGCATGGTTCCAGTCCATAGACTTGCCCCCCGAAGAGGAAATTGAGAGCAGAAACGTGGACTTTGGTCCGCGGGAGCGCCTGGGAAGCTGGTGGGACAAGGAGGACGAGGCGCGGCCTGGTGCAGGTGTGCTGGCTTGAGGGTGGGGGACATTGGGGAACCCTCTCCTGCGTCGGAGGCGCCCAGGCTGTGGGGATGCCCGCCAACCCCAGCGTCTCATTCCCCTACAGCAGCCGGGCCCGGCCTGGGCCCCGGGGGCCAGGAGAGCGACTTGAGCAAGGTCCGGCACAAGCTCCGCAGGTTCCTGCTGCGACGGCCCACGCTGCAGTCGCTGCGAGACAAGGGCTACATTAAAGGTACCGCCGGGGCCTGGGGGCTGGCGGCGTGGGGCGGCAGCTAGGAGACGCTGACGAGCCTCTCCCCCAGACCAGGTGTTCGGCTGCACGCTGGCCGAGCTGTGTGAGCGCGAGAAGAGCCCCGTGCCGCATTTCGTGCAGCAGTGCATCCGCACCGTCGAGGCCCGGGGTAGGCACCGGCCGGTGGGCGGGCAGGCGGGGATTCCGGGCGCTGCCAGGGCCCCCTCCCAGGACCCCCTGTCGGAGACTCCCGGGTGGGACAGAGTCAACAGAAAGAGCGGGACACCTCAGGGATCCTAGTATAGAAATCACAGCAGGGCCTTTAGTACTACCCCACCCCACCCCACCGGACCCGGAGTCAGCGCCTCCCTCCGTCCCAGGACTGGACATCGACGGGTTGTATCGCATCAGTGGAAACCTGGCCACCATCCAGAAGCTGCGCTATAAGGTGGACCACGGTGAGGCCCGTCCCCAGCTCTTGCCCCAGAGCTGAAGGAGAGAAACAAGGGTCACTGATTTTGCCTCTTCCCCGGCCTCAGAAGAACGTCTGGACCTGGACAACGGACGCTGGGAGGACGTGCACGTTATCACGGGCGCCCTGAAACTCTTCTTCCGAGAGCTGCCGGAGCCCCTCTTCCCCTTCTCCCACTTCCACCAGTTCATGGCGGCCATCAGTGAGCACACCCGGGGAAGGCGGGCAGAGGGGGCAGGATAGAGCCGGTCTGCCCCGACATCCCCCACGCCGCGGCTGGCAGCCTTCTGAACCCCCTCGCCTCCCTGATCTCCCCTCTGCTTCCCCAGAGCTGCAGGATCAGACCCAACGTAGCCGCTGTGTGCGTGACCTAGTGCGCTCGCTGCCCACCCCGAACCACGACACGCTGCGGCTGCTCTTTCAGCACCTGTGCAGGTGAGCGGGCGCCGCGCAGGAATGGGGAGGTGGAGCTGCCAGGAGTCTTCCAGGCCTACCCCCTGCTCAGGGCACTGACCCCCGCCTCACCCCCCTGCAGGGTGATCGAGCACAAGGATCAGAACCGTATGTCCGTCCAGAGCGTAGCCATCGTGTTCGGGCCTACGCTACTGCGGCCTGAGATGGAGGAGACCAGCATGCCCATGACCATGGTGTTCCAGAACCAGGTGGTGGAGCTAATCCTGCAGCAGTGTGCTGACATCTTCCGGCCACACTGACCGCTGCCTGCGCCCGGCGTCACCCTGCTGCTGGAGTTAGAGATGAGAGATAGGCACATAGAAGCCGGGCAGTTGGAGGCCACGCGGCTGAACTCTGAAACCCTTGGCTTCCACCGCAGGCCGGTGTGAATTCAGCACGTCTCGGTTCTGAGGTTATGGTGTGACCCCTGGTGGGCAGTTTGCAAAATGTGATTTTCTTTCCAGGTCCTCTTTTGGCCTTAGGTTTGGGTCTGTACTATAGCGCCTCCTACTGTACCGGAAGGAGAATGCGTGTAGGGGTGATTTGTTTCTGGGACTGGGATGGGCCCATACTTGGAGGGAATTTGGTTGAGTGGCTTTCTGGCTTCTTCAGGCCTTCACCTGGTCGAGGCCTTGTCGGAGACTCCAAGCCTTCTGTGTGTGGGTCATGAAGGAGCATCCGCCCACTTCTCTGCTGCCGAGACAGGGCTGACCAGGCTTGGAGTGTGGGCTGCTAAACCTGTTTTTCTCAGACCTCAGGGTTGAAGTGAAGGTTGGCTGTGGATCATTTTCATCAGGCGTCTTCACCTGCCTTCTCTGACCTATCCTCCAAGTGTTGTTGCAAGCATGCCTCGGATTTACTAAATGTATGCCCTGCCCCTGGCACCACACACCACCCCATTGTACAGATGAGGAAACTGAGGCTTGCAGAGACAAAGCTGACTTGTGAAGGGTCCAGTAGCTGGTTTGACTTCCCAGCTCAGGCTCCTTCCATTCTAGAGCGCAGCCTCCCAGGAGGATGAAATCAATACTCTCAGCCCCACTCCCACCCATCCCACCCACCCGCAGCCCCACTATGGGATTGTAGACAAAGAAAAGAAACTGAGCCAATGAGATCCACCTGGGCCTGGGGAGGGTCGCTGTAGGCAGAAGGGGAACCTACCCCAATGTTTTTTCTTGAGAGGGGGGTAAGGAAATATCACTGGAAACCTCTTACAGTGCCCAGATAACTTCCTGGTACCCGTGAGGAGCTGGGAGAGGCCTGCAGGGCACAATCTTCAGGATGTATAAGCCCTGGGGCAGTATTCCCCCCACCAGCACACACAAGTCACCTCAGTTTATGGGTCTTGACACCTCCTCAAGTCCTACTCACCCATTCATTTATTCAATAATAGCTCATATTTATTGGGCATTTGCACTGTGCCAAGCATTTTCTTTAGATTATTTCATTGTTTCTCACAGCCAATATTTATTGTCTGCTCATCTGTGCCAGGGACCCAGCACGTGCTACCTGCCCTGGGGTAGCCTATGGCCTGACAGGTGAAACTGACCCGTGCCCACCCCTCATTCCAGCACAGACAAGTACAAATGGAGGCCTCACATCAAACGTCTAACTGTGTAAAAGTTATAAACCTAGCTAACATTATTAAACAAAATGTGGTCTAGTCTCCTACTCTGACTAATGTGCTTTCTCAGTGACCTGGAAGGTCCTCACAAACTTCTTTGGTTCTTGTGAGTTCTATGCCTGTGTGTGTGTTGGGGGGGGGGGGCGGTGCAGGCAGTGCTGGCCCTTGGCCTACCCCCTTCTCTTTGCACCCTCAGAGCCATTCTGTTCCAAGGGGAGGTTTGAGCACACACGTATAACACTTGTCCGCTGGTGCAAACTGTCCACACTCGCTGGAACCACCAGTCTCTGGGAAGTGGACCTGGGGTCCCTGGCATCCAGAGTATGGTTTAAAGGGAAGGGCTTGGACTTCAGAAGGGTCCCATCGGCTCTTCTCCTTGTGGGGAAGGGTGCACACAGAAAAGGTCCGGAGTGGAATATTTGAAAGTAGGGGGCCCAGGGCAGGGTCATTTCTCATCCAGGTCTGAGGGTGGAACTAGCTGACAATAAACTGACTACTTGGTGAACTACATTTGTGATAATAGCTAGGAAACAGTACAGGGGCTTTGAAGGTGTTGTGCTGGGGTGTGACTGATTCCCGGGGACCTGAGGTTTCTCCTCAGAATTCATGTTTGGCCTAAGCGCTAAGGATTGAAGGTGTCCACCGGACAGTGAGTTAAAAGAAGGGCATCTAAGCAGAGGGACTGCACATGCAAAGGACTCCACGTGAGGCAGGAAGGTTTATGAGTTGGTACTGACTTGCTGGCACCTAACAACTATGGGTTAGGTGTTCAGTTGCTAACTGCAAGGTCAGCAATTCAAACCCACCATCTGCTTTGTGGCAGAGAGATGAGGCTGTAGTCTGTATTTTGTGTCACCTTTCATGACTTTAAACCATTCAGTGCCCCCCTTTTTCTGTTTGAACAACTGCTTCTTGGTCTATATACAGGTTTCTCATGAGTCCAATTAAGTGTTCTGTAATACCCACTCTTCATAATGTTATCCATAGCTTGTCATGATCCACACAGTCAAAAGCCTTTACATAGTCGATAAAACATAAATAAACATCTTTCTGGTCCCCTTTGCTTTCAGTCGAAATGCATCTGATGTCAGCGATGATAGCCCTCATTCGGTGTCCTCTTCTGAATCCAGCTTGAATTTTGGGCAGTTCTCTGTTTATGTACTGTTGCAGCCATTTTTAAATCATCTTTAGCAAAATTATACTTGTATGTGATATTAAGGATATTGTTCGTTGGTTTCTGCATTCCATTGGGTCAACTCTCTTTTGAATAGACACAAATACGGATCTCTTCCAATCCATTGGCTAGGTAGCTGGCTTCCAAATTTCTTGGCATAGATGAGTGAGTGCCTCCAGTGCTGCATCACTTGGTTGAAAGATTTCAATTTATATTCCATCAATTCCTGGAGCCTTGGGTTTTTGTCAGTGCCTTCAGTGCAGCTTGGTCTTCCTCCTTTAGTACCATTGATTCATATGCTACCTCTTGAAATGGTTGAACAGCATCCATTTCTTTTTGATACAGTGACTCTGTGTATATCTTCCATCTTCTTTTAGTGCTTTCTGCATCATTCAATATTTTGCCCATACAATCCTTCAATATTCCAAGTTGAGGGTTGAATTTTTCTTCAGTCCTTTCAGCTTGAGAAATGCTAAACGTGTTCTTTCCTTTTGGTTTTCTAACTCCAGGTCTTTGCACATTTTATTATAACACTTACCTTGTCTTCTTGACCTGAACTTTGAAATTTTCTATTCACCTCTTTGATTTCCTCATTTCTTCCACTTACTTTAGCATATCTATGCTGGGAAGCAAATTTCAGAATCTCTTTGGACATCCATTTTGGTCTTTTCTGTCTTTAAAATGACCTCCTTTTGCTTTCTTCCTGTATGATATTCTTTTTTTTTTTTTTTTTTTAATGTTCTATTGTGAATTATGTGATACTTTACATGGGAGAATATTAGCTTTACATTCATCCTATCATGTATCATTTCATTGCTA